AGGTCTCCTTCTTCAGATTGTGTTAAAACAAAGCTCAAATGAAAGTCTAACTTGAGTAACAGAGCTTCAGACAAAGCAGTGCCTCTAGTTTGCATCACACCCCCAAGGAGTGTTGATGACATCAGCTGCAAAGCATCATTACACAAGCTCCTAATGAACACAAAAGAAACATGCTATGGTGTGAGAGTTTGGGTTGGGTAGCTCTAGTAGAAAAACAGTACATGACAAAACACCTTTTGTTCTGTAAAATCGTCAAAATATAGGCAACTTTTGTCTTTTTTATTAACCTTTTTTATTAACATAAATCTTATGTTCTAAGTGCACAGGCTGGTATTAGAATGACAGCACAAAATATCTGTGGTATACAAAACAAGGTGTTCAGTTGTATGCATGGTCCACATACTTCACATGTACAGTTTTCAGTCAGCTTCTGTCTGTGACGCATTAGCAAGATCATAAAATCAACAGCACAGATTTATGAGGAAAGATACACTGCCAATATATCAGTCTGGTATGTGAGTACTAATACTACAGTACTCTTGGGTGACTTCACAAGTGAAAGCTTTGTAAACTACTGTAGGCCTACTTTCCCACAGGCAGGTTTGTCACAGGTCCATTCTCCACATAGCTGCACACTGCCTTATAAGGACATGAAGAACAACATAACAAAGAGCATTGTTGTGGACGCTGATGTTGCCTACGCATGTGTTAACACTGATCTATTAAAATTTTAGGAATTTACAGTATGTAAACTACCATGAAAACAAAGGTAATATTAAAAGTAGGCTAATATTAATCTAAGAATACTGTTTAAATACATGGGATAACAGACCATATACTATAGGCCTCCAAATCTTAAATGTGTTATACTGGCATTAACACGTTGTATGGGTACTACAATACATTCTTCAATAATTTACGAGAATGTGAGTGTGGTCACCTGTAGAGCTTGCCATTTTCAGGTGGATTAGCCAATCAGCGACAAGCATGATCCACCTTTATCGGAAAAAATAAAGGAAAATAATATCACAGGGGACTGAAAAACATCTCTCGTGGCTCAAGTTTATAATAAATAACATGTTTTCTAATTAATTAAAAACAGAGTCTACCTGTCAGATCTCTGCTTTTGTAATATACGTTCTGGGGTTGAAAGTTTGCTCATTTAGGAGAAAAAAGTTGGGTGTTTTACACAACAATTTTTAGTTTTATTTGTTTATTAGTTTGAGCAACATGCTTGTACAAGGTACAGTACAGTACACACAGAGATATAAATGTACATATACCAAAAGGAGCAGGTTGAAGTTTGGAAAACTTATGTAGTCCTATCCTTCTTTTACTTTTACATTGTCATGTAGTTAACGCACTTTAAGTCTCTCATTTTCTTTGTCTTTCTCATTTGGGTTGCTTACATAAAGAACTGAAGCATACTCTTATGCAACTGCATGAGAGTATATGTCATACATAATCTATGTAAAACCTTTAAATCATGGAACACTTGTAAATAAATGAACCTGTTCTGAAGAGCCTGTATTTCGAATTTCAATATATTTTTCCCACACAAATCAAACCTAAAACCTACTTGCTGTGGGCAGGGTTCCCACTCTTTTCACTGACACAAAATTTCAAAACTTTTCCATGACTTTTTTATGCTCTAAAGTGAATTTTCAATTACTTTACAGCACCCTACATATGTAGAATTTATCGTACTTTTAGGGCTAAATATGACATGTTAACCCTTTCCACTCACCTTATGGCATGGAGTTATAGTTTTTTAACAATCAAAATACTGTCAGTGCATTTATTGTCATCTCTTTTAAACAAAAGGTGCAGATGTTCGGAAATAATCATAATAGCCTAATGACAAACTTAACAGAACTGTGTAGCTGCGTGAAAGATACTAGAATTCCATGACTTTTCCAAAACTTTCATTGAATTTACAAAATTCCATGACTTTTCCAGGCCTGAAAAATTTCCATGATTTCCATGTGCGTGGGAACCCTTTGTGGGTTGAGAATCTAACCCCGTTTACAGTGTATTACATTAGTCTAAATCAAGTATCAAACAGCCTGCAGCATCCGCGTTATTAAATCTATGTTTTTACTTTGAGCACTGACGCACATTGAGTAACTATTATTATGGGCCTGATAGATTTGGAATTGGATTTGGCTTTTCCGACATGTTGATAACTGCACATGCACAACAGCTCAAATCCTCCAGCTAAAGGTAGTGCTGACCAAGCCTATAGCTAAAGATCTGGAGATGGAACCCCGGGCGCCTACTGCTCCTGACAGGTTGTCCCAGCCCCATTGAAGGATGGGTCAAATGCATACAATTAAAGCTCCTATAATACGCTAAATTAAATCTCACTAGGGCATGATAGAATGTCGTCACCTCTTCAAAAACATACATACAGCGTTTGTGTTTTGTTTCATTCACACGTGTTTGAATAATCTCTAAAGAAAAACTCTAAATGCTCTCAAATCCCAGTTTATACAGCTCTAAACTACAGGGATAACATTTTTTTATACAGGTTAAGACAGGTTGTCTATGGTGGAAATTATGACACTTCAATAACAACAGCCTTTGAGATTTGCTAATTGCGTCATTCTTGTTGTGATTTTGTCTGTGATTCATTTTGCAGCCCTAACACTGAACCTATTTAGTTTAGTATGTACAAAAAAAACATAAAAGTACTGCACAAAAACAGTCAAAATGTCTATTCTTTTGCAATGCTGGCGTTTTGCAGCCGTTGTATCTGCCCCGGAGCCGAGCTGTGAGTGACAGCATTGACTGCGCCTCCACACCTTTTCATGAAGCCGCCCGCCAATTTTGTTCTTGGAATTTTTGCAAGTTCATATCAAGGCAAGTCTTAACTGCAACAAAAAGTGGAAATAAAATACACTTCATCATGATGTTGTAACATGTAAAGGCACCGTGCTTGATTTTTATTGTTTTAAAAGTTGAATAACAGAGCTAGATTATTCTAAACCGCAGTGGTCCAAAGTTATTCCTCACTTACTTACCACAATGAGTCTCTAAGTGCTTTTCTTTACTTTCAGAGACCAGTGCAAAGTATTTAAATGCTGTTGTTGTGTGCATAGGCAAGACACTTCACCCATCTCGCCCTTAAAGTCTGCATACACCGGTGTACGAATGTGCGTGTGAATGGGTGAGTGGTTCCTTGAATGTAGAAAAGCGTTGTATAATAATATGACCATTTACCATTACTGTCTAACAACTAACAACTAGCATGCTGACGTGCTCTTCCCAATTACTGGACAATAAAACTTTGTATTATTAGATGCAGACAGAGCGCAGACTTATTTTGACGTCAAGAGCTGCTTATATAATCCTTGACTGAGGCCAGACAACTCTTGCACACAACCTTTATATAATGTATAGTACTGAGAGCTCGATTTTATTTTTTATTTTTATTTTACTTTTGACTTTTTTTTAAAATTAAATATATTGTTTATTTATTTATTTAACTTTATTTTCATTTTTAAAAATTTACCTTTTGCATGTTTATTGTATATTTTGTTTGAGGTTGCATTCATTCATTCTTTATTCAGATACTTTTTTTTTTTTTTTTTACAGTATTTCAGCAGTTTACTGGTTTTCACAGACTTACTTTTTGACTCTTGTGCTTTTCTAGAGTTTTCACATTCACTTACAGTAAACAATCACTGAACAAATAAACAAAACCTTGTAGTCCGTAGTTACAATTGCAAAGACATATCCGCCCAGTAACCTAAGATTGCTGTTTCTGTCATTGCAAGTTGTCATTATGTCCTTGGGCAAGGCACATTATGCTTGCCTACGTGACTCTATCGCTTTTATATTTATTTGAGTGTGTTGGACTAAATATTCAGGATTCAAAAATGCTCATATTAAATGGTCTGCAGTTATTCCTCACTTACCTTTTCGAGCATTTTGAGCAGACGTAGCATTAAACGGTCTGCAATGGTCCAAAGTTATTCCTCACGCATTTTTAGCATACTAATTCTTCACTTATTTGTGTTATTTTACTATATTATTATTATTTAGTATCCACAAAAATAGTTTGGATTCAAACATTTTCATATTTCAGTGGTCCAAAGTTATTCCTCGCTTACCTTGTTGAGCATTTTGAGCATCCCAATTCTTCACTTCTCTATATTTCATTTTATTTTACTTGCATTATTTTATTATTATTTATTATTCACAAAAATTGTTAGGATTCAAACATTTCCATATTGCAGTGGTCCAAAGTTATTTCTCACTTACCTTTTGCATTTCGAGCGTCCTAATTTTTCACTTCACTTTATTTCATTATATATTTTTTATTATATGATTATTATTATTAATTATTCACAAAAATAGTTAGGATACAAACATTTTCATATTTCAGTGGTCCAAAGTTATTTCTCACTTACCTTTTGCATTTCGAGCATCCCAATTCTTCACTTCAGTTTATTTCATTTTATTTTTGTATTATTTTACTATATTATTATTATTTATTATTCACAAAAATTGTTAGGATTCAAACATTTCCATATTGCAGTGGTCCAAAGTTATTTCTCAATTACCTTTTGCATTTCGAGCGTCCTAATTCTTCACTTCACTTCATTTTATTTTACTTCATTGCATTTTATGCTTTTTTTTTCTTAGCCACTTATTGTGAACACTTTCGACTGTGTGGGTGTATTTGCATCGCCCAGGGACACAGCAGCAGCCTCTGAATCAGACTTGAACTCGACACTTGTACATCTCCCTGGCGCATACGCAACGTTCACATGGACTAACTGACATCCCCATAACACACGTACATGGAAAACCCTCGCAGTAAAACAAACTGTGATGGACTATAATGAAAGAACAGCCTGCTCGAGTCACCCTTTTTTGGCAGCAGGCTGGAAGGGGGCTGGACGTAAACACCGAAGGCCTGCTCCTATTGGCCGATCAGGACACACACACTGCCATAAATGCTCTGCTTCCTCCACTCCTCTCTACACACAAGCCCCGGTTACAAGCAAAGACAAGCAAACTGAAAGCATCTGTTCCAAATTCTTCATCGATGTAACACTCTGTGCCATGTAAGTATTGAATTTCAGCATTTATACTGATGGTAACGTCAAACTGAATCGATATTGACTGTTTTGGTATGCTTTTGTTGCAGATTTACTCGATTTGGAAAGACTTGATACTTAAAACCAACATTCAAGCCTTTTTGAGATTTGAGGATTCTGAAACATGACGATGAATAATATGAGGTAAGACAAAATTCTGATTTCTTAACTTTGTTGATTGCTTTTGTTTGGCTGTTGTGAAAAGTGATTTTAAATGATTAAGTCAAGTTCATTAGTCCAGTAGTCAAGGTTCATTTGGTCTTCTGATATTTTATGTTATTAGGTTCTTATTTCAGACCAAAGAAGAAAGAAAACAAACTCTTGGTCTGAAAAAAGAACCTCATAACAAATTTATTTGGTTTGAATATAATACAAAAGTACTTGCCTATTTGAACAATTTTGAAAACTGTGATGACTTTTAGATGCAATCCAAATAAAAAAAAAAAAAGCTCTTAAATATTTGATCATAATTTCTACGATTTAGTACATTGGACACTCAAAGAGGATTTACAGTTCAGTGTGTTAGTCTTTCTGATTTTAGTTATACTTTTACTTTTACTTAGGCTCCCTCTGTAGACAAAACTGCCTTGAGTCAGAATTATTGAAACACAGCCAAGTTTACAGAGTTTACAACATGACATCCTGCTATATTTGACTGTTAAGATCAGTATGTTGAGGTGAAAGTAGAATTTGAAACACCAACTTTCTAGTTATAGTGTGACTACTCCATCAGAGTCACTGTTTGTTGTCATGACGATCACAAAAGCAGCAGACACACAGAGCTAAACAGCCAGTGACAAATGACTCATGAATTCTCTTTCTTGTCCTCCCTCAGAATACTGCATTCACCCACCATCATGATGCCAGCCGACTTGGCCTCGTGCCTCTCCGTGCGTCAGCCGCTGTACCAGCTCTCCTCCTCTTTGAGAACCACCGCCAGCACCAGCCCCACGCAGCGCCTGTCCCCCCCTATCAACACCTCCTACTCCCTGCGCTCTCCCACCTACCTCTCCCCCTCCGGCTCTCCCTCCCCCTCCCGCTCGCACTCGCCCTCGCCCACGTCGTCGCCCTCTCCCACGCGTGCCTCCCCCAGCCGCTTCTTCTCGTCGTCCGAACCGCGAAGCTGCCTGCGTAGGGAGCACGGCGGGCTGAGAAAAAGGGTCTCCTTCTCGGACGCTAAGGGCACACCGCTGACTGCTGTCCGCCTCTTCATCCCGGATACGCCTTCGTCACCGCCAACGTCACCGAGCTACAGCCAGCTCCCTTCGATGGCTCTGAGGAGATTCCAGCCTAAACAAGATGTGGCGGCTCCGACCAAGACCGCGCCGTACAAGCTCCGTCTGGCGTTCACGCAGCCTTCCCTGGATCTCAACGTCTTCATGGCGCGTCAGAAAGAAATGGGACTGCAGTTGGAAAGCTGTAGCGTGTCGGAATATTGCCTGAGCGGGAAAATCAGAGTTTCCCACGTCGGAACTGAGCAAACTGTACATGTTAGAATGAGTATCGATTCCTGGAGGAGTCACTACGATATCCCTTGCGCCTTCGTGCAGAGGCAGAGGTTCGGGTCGATGGAGACGGACATTCACGCTTTCGAACTGAGCCTTCCGATGAATCTGGATCCGATTCACGGGATTGAGTTTTGCGTGACTTCCAAAACTGAGAAAACTGAGACAGCTCTATGGGACGATAACAGGGGGCAAAACTACAGGATTCAAGTGGAGAGAGACAGCAGCGTCGAGCAAGAAGAGGTGATCCCGGGGTCTCCCAAAATGTTCCGGTACCAGCCGCTCCCCCTGTTGGTGCAAGTGACTAATTTTGATATGGGTCGCTACACCGATCTGCCACACTTCAGAGCCTTGTCAAACCTGGGGGCAGAAAGGGGGCTGTGTGCCGTCAAATAAGGCACAGAAATTAAGACTTGCTATTGAAATAAACTGCTCGGTTCTACGCAGTGGGAGGGCAGCTGCTACTTGCACTAAGCTAGTTTTGCATTGATTTAGAAAAATGCCTTGAAGATTTTTTTCTAACATCGCAAAAGAAAAGCTTGAAGATCAAACTTTAAGCCAGGGGTGTCCTTTTTTCATCAAGGGCCACATATCTAAACACAGACGAAGCAGAGGGCTGATCATAGGGCCATAGAGTAGTGCTCAGTACAGTGAATTGGACTATGTGCACGTTTGACACTTTAGAATGAGCCATCAGTCTTTTCTATTCTATTAGCTTTATCAAGGTAAATTTTCAAAAACTTGATTGAACTGATGCAAGGTAATTTGGGCCAATTCACCTGGAAGCCATGATGAGGGCCAAGAAAAATTTGTTTTAGGGCCACATTTGGTCCACGGGCCATAGTTTGGACATGCTTTAAGCTATGTATCTGTTTCTGATCATTTCATGCACCCTGTGGGGTAGTGGAGTATGTATGTATATATGTAAACGGTGTTCTTGTGAATGTACTGTGTATATTGACTATACTGAGTGAGAGACTCTCAAATCTACTTTTGTTAAATATGTAAATACTTTATTTATATGTCCTGAATAAATGTGTTTGATGAACTTTCCATGTTGCTTCATTTCTGGTGAGATTTTTTATGAATGCACCATAATCACAAGACACATATTGTTGCATTGAAGGCAGAATGAAAATAAATATATGGATTTTTTTGTATTTTTTCAGGCATATTATTAAGAACCAACTCTTATTTACTATGGCTGTTTAACATAAGATTATTACATAAACTGAAAAACAAAACAACATACATTTTTGTCCAAGGTTATGGTAACAAAACCAAAAACCATCTACCAATCTATAAATAGTTCCAAAAATATGAAATTCTCATGATTACAGTAGCAGAATCTTCTTGCTGAGTCACTGCATGAAAAACAAAAGTAATATCCATTATTTTACATAAGTATTTTGAATGAACATAACAGTCATGTTATAGTCACACTTATTTTGGGGTTTGGCACAAAAAAAGCTGTTGACATTGGAGTGTTTTTTTTATTTTTTTTGTACGCATATTTTCAAAATAGAAAAAGTACCCAACTTACTTGACAACATTCAAGTACTTTTGTTTGAAGAAGGATGATTGTGTTGCTATAGAAACTGACCACAAATTACTCACGCTGTTAGTTTAGACTACTCCCTTTGGCTCTGCACTGCATTATCCCGTGTGAACTGAAATGTAATGGAATTTAATAAAACATCTGTTCACCGAGCAAAGGTTTGACATTTCATTCTAATTATAATGACATGCCGGAATTATACTCAAGTACAGATTAAAATGGCTACTCAAGTACAATTACCTGTAAGTTATAGTCAATTACAGTAACTTTATTTTATTTTTAATTTGTTATGTCCACCTCTGACGAACATATAATGAAATGAATAGAGGTTGAAACAATGTAGAAATATTTTTGCACATGAAAATACAATGCAACCTCAAAAATGTATCATTTATTTACAATTTATATCTCACTCATCTATAAACATCGCAGATAAACTGTTGTGCATATCTCATGCTTCTCATACTACAAACACATTTCAAACCTGCATTATATTTACAGTATTTCTTTAATTTATTGTATTATTCATATATTTTTTATCATGAATATTGCATTTCTATTCTGGTAGGGTTCCTGTGACCTGCTTGTTTCCATGGAGATGTCATTGCTTCTCTTCTCACAGCATGGCATTTACCTGATCCATGGAGACAAGCAGGTGAACCACCAGGTCGAATTACAGGTCAGATCTGTGGAGAGGACATCCAGCTGTTTACAGAAACACTACATGTTTTTCAAGTTTTTTTTAATCAATAAAAATATTCTATGTATTTTTGTACTTTTCTTTTCAGTTTCGTTTTAACCACAAACTGCCAGTTGAATGATGAATTTATGATAAATCATAACCACAGGTAAGACTGAAACCAAAGTATAATTAAAAAAACATGGAAGCCTGTCATGAGCACTTTCTGTGGGTGCAGAAGCAGAAGGATGGTTGCTATTGTCATAAACAGTCCAAAACAAAGTATGACATCTTTTGAATTGAAGTTTGTGAGTCCTCAAAATGACGTACAGGGTTCTCACTCTTTTTCACTAACAAAATTTCAAAACTTTTCCATTACTTTTTCATGACCTAAAATGAATTATTAAGGACTTTACGGCACCTATATGTGTAGAACTGATCAGACTTTTAGGCCTAAATTTGAAATGTTAACTTTCCACTCACCTTATGGTTTGGTATTATAGTTTTTTAGTTATAGTTATATATAGTTATAGTTATAGTGCATTTATTGTAGTGCAGACATATCAAACTCAGGCCCAGGGGCCAAATTTGGCATGCAATATAATTATATTTGGCCCGCAAGATCATATCAAATATGTATCAGAGCTGGCCCGTCAGACAGGCTACAGATAGACTACAGAGACATTATTCATTTAAAATGTTCTTAATATTTTATATTGTGCTTGTTCTGGATTCAATGTTTAAGCAAAAGTATGATTAAACATTTATTTTAATAAGAAAAGGTCTAATATTACATATCTCCAAACAAGAGAAAACATGCAGATGTTGAAATTTTTCAGTAAATATTTAGTTTGGCTCACAACTTATTCCCTGTTTTTAATTTTGGCCCTCTGTGAATTTGAGTTTGACACCCCTGTTGGAGTCTCTTTTAAACAAAAGATGCATACATTCAGAAATAATCATAATAGCCTAATGATAACTTAACTTATAACTTAACAGAATGCTGCAGTTGCATGAAATATACTAAAATTCCATAACTTTTCTACAACTTTCATTGAATTTACAAAATTCCATGAATTTTCCAGGCCAGGCAGGTCATAGATTTTCTAGGATTTCCATGACCGTGGAAACCCCGGCCATAAAACAGTCAGCTGGAGCCCATGAATACATTTTACAGTACAATACATTTCAGACAAAGCAATGGCATCTCCATGGACACGAGCAGGTGTCAGAAAAGCTCCACAGCACGCCTTTAAATCAATGACTAGACTGACGTGCATTGTTCCTCATGGGTATAACGCTAGTAACCTATTTAAACATGCATTGTACACTAATCCAGGAATGAGGCTAGGGCACTCTGTACTTTCTCAAAGCAATTCTTTCCTTATAGGCTTTCACAATGCCTTCAGGCTCACATATCCAACTGTTTTCTTTTCTCTCCTCCGTGCGTCACACATACCAGACAAAACAAGTCAACTAACCCGTAGTTAACAGGCTCAGGGACCGAGTAGAGCATGTCTCAACCACTCCCAAAACAACCCAGGAACGAACCCAGGCAAAACACCAGGTTGCCATGACGACGTATTCAGAGCGACCAGTCTTGTGCGTGCACATATTTTAGTAGGAAGGGAGGGGAGGGTGGGGATATATCCTGGTATCCGCAGTCAACAGTTTTGGAGCAGCACAATCTCTCATCTCATGTTACGTGTGTCCAGTTGAAATGGGGTGTTCAGAGTTTAGGAGGATATTTTTGTTTGGAATCAGATGTCATGCTTAACGACGTGCTGCACAACTTTTCCGGTAGAAAGTTCACTATTTGCCTGTCTCCATGGAGATGTTATTGCTTTGCCTAGAATGCTCCATGGTATGACATTAAAGGTGCACTGTGTAACTTTTTGGTTGGGGGTCCGTCACCTGCCTGTTTCTATGGAGATGTCACTGCTCTGCCTGGAATGTTCCAAAGTGTGACATATAACAGCTCTACTTTACATTTATTCAATTCCAGGTGGATTTATTGCTCAAAAAGACTTAGAAAAACAGACATTCTGACAGAGCGGGGTCGCCTCTCCACAGATCTGGCATGTAACTTGGTTTGGTTTGGTCTCCATGAAGATAAAAAGGTTTAATGCCATACTGTGAAACGTTCCAGACAATGCAATAACATCTCAGGAGACAAGCATTTGACAGACCCTCCACCAGAAAAGTTACACAATGCACCTTTAAACATTTCCATCTACACAGCAAAAACATGGAGGGTTAACATTTCAGAGTACAATATTTGAGAGTATTTGAACGTTAAATGGGGGCTTATTTGTTGATATGGTTGAAGTTAATTCAAATTCCCCTAGTGTAAATTTAGAAACTCCCACCCACCACTTGAAACTCCCATGAGAGAAGATCAGTTTGAACCAGTTTTGTTCATAATTTCATCTTAAATCAATTAAAATAAAGTGTAAAAATAAATCACCTCTGTGTGTTTAGCTAAATCTGGAGAACCATATAAAGTGTTATCTGTTTACTCTCAAAATGTTAATATAGCTCTTCTTTCAGGGTTAAACAGGAATTTTGGTCCTACTTCATTAACATTTCCAAAAAAAAAAGTTAAATAAATTCTAGATCAGATTAGACTCATATAAACCCTGAGAAACCCTGAGGTGTTTCTATCACTCAAAAATACATGAATTTCTTCATTTTGTAACGCAGTGTAGTGCTGTAACCTGCTTGTCTCTGTTGTGATAGTTATAGGTTTATCTACACTGTGGAAGACTCTCGACCAAACAATGACATTTCCATGGAGACAAGCAGGTGGCAAACCCTCCGCTAGAAATGTTCCATAGTGCACCTTTAAAAAACAAAAACAATAAAATACAATTGATATGTCTTTTAAAATAGTTTGGTTCATGCAGTTTTGTGAAGCTAAGTACTAAGAAACATTGCAAAAGCAGAGAAGACAGCAGTACACTAACTTCTTGTAAATTTTCTTTTTTCATTTTTGCTTTGCTCAAAGTTTTGCATTAGTTAGTTTAGCAAAGTTAAAGATATGCAATGTTAATATGAGAACCATGTCTGTGCTCGCCTCTTCCCAGATCTGACCTGGAGCATAGCCTTTCGAGTTATGAGTTATCAGACAGACTACTAAATAAAAACGTAGTAAGGTTGTGCTTGCAGTTAAAACTAAGACACAGTAAAGTACTATGGGAACTGTGAATGGGCACGCCTCTCCACAGATCTGACCTGCAACTTAGCCTATTTGAATTAACAAAGAGACTGCTAATGAAGTGCAGATCAGTAGTTGTAGTAAGTGTAGTAGTACTAGTAGTAGTACTGAAAGGGACAATTTTAGAGTGAACAATGATGTCGATCATTTGACACTTACCGTAGCCTCTAAAAGTCAAATCAGCATTGTGTTGTAGTAACTGTAGTCATAATGGTAGTAATAGTAGTAGCAGCAGTTGTAAATGTAGTAGTAGTAGCAGTAGTATGGAAACAGACCCCGACAGACAATTTTTGGTTTATGCTGCAGATCATTTCACACTGAACTTGGCCTTTAACAGTCACAAGTCAGGATGGTGCAGTAGTAGTAGAAGTAGTAGTAGTAGTAGTTAGGGGTGTAATGATAGTCTCACGATACGATATCATGATATGAACCTCACGGTACGATATCTATTGTGAATAATCGTGGGAAAGCTCATGATATGGTGGGGAGGCTCACAGTTAGGGATGTAACAATATTCAAATCTCTTGGTACAATATTTTCTGGATATACATCTCATGGTACGATATTTATTGAGATATTTTGTGGAGGTTAACAAAACTGTTACTGCTTCTTTTTCCTCTTAAAATGCTTTGACAAAGACTTGTATGTTATTTCTTCTTGTAGTCTACACTGAAACAGAGCAAAGGATCATGGTCTATGTAGTTTCCTCTGTCTTTTTTTAAGCTATTGCTGCACCATAACTCTTAATTTATGCAAAGAGACTTAGTAATATCGTGGACCATCATTATATATCGAATTACGTGCGAACTTTGATGATACAATATCACGATATTTCAGTTATTGTTATATCCCTAGTAGCAGCAGCAGTAGTAGTAGTAGTAGTAGTAGTTCAATCTGAAGCAGAGAGAAGTTGAAGAAGTATGTTAGTAGTTGTAATAGTTGTGGCAAAGTCCCATTACTACCTCCAACTGTATTGCAACAGTAAATGCTGCAGTACATTTGACACTAATCTTGGCCTTTAAAAGTCACAAGTTAAGGGCAGTAGTAGTTGTAGTAGTAATTGTAGTACTAGTAGTAGTAGTAGTAATTGTAACAGTAGCAGTATTACCATTTCAAGAAGAGACACAGTAGTTGTAATAGTTGTAGCGAAGTCCCATTACTACCTCCAGCTGTACTGCAACACTAATCTTAGATTTAAAAGTCACAAGTTAAGATGGTGCAGTTTTAGTAGTAGTAGTAGTAGTAGTAGTAGTAACAGTAGCAGTATTATTACAATTTCAAGAAGAGAAGTTGTGGTAGTAGTTGTAATCGCTGTAGCAAAGTCCCATTACTACCTCCAACTGTACTACAACACTAATCTTGGATTTAAATGTCACAAGTTAAGATGGTGTAGTTGTAGTAGTAGTAGTAGTAGTAGTAGTAGTAGTAGTAGTATTACAATTTCAAAAAGAGAAGTTGTAGTAGTAGTTGTAACCCCTGTAGCAAAGTCCCATTACTACCTCCATCTGTACTACAACACTAATTTTGGATTTAAAAGTCACATGTTAAGATGGTGTAGTTGTAGTAGTAGTATCAGTAGAAGTAGTAGTAGTAGTAGTATCAGTAGCTGTAGCAGTATTATTACAATTTCAAAAAGAGAAGTTGTGGTAGTAATTGTAATAGTTGTAGCAATGTCCCATTACTACCTGTAACTTCACACACGTACGAATTACATTATAGATCCCTGCAGCTTTTTACACTGACGTCAATGCACATTTATATTTTGCAGAAGAGAAAGCCCAGACAAGTATATTCCCCATAGCGTCAGGCTGTTCATTACACAGAGCACATCTTTGTCCATGTTGTGTTGCAGAGATCAAAGCGGACAAAAGCAGCCTACGTCAGAGCAGAAACGTGAGATTTATCCCACGGATTGGTTTACACTTACGTAACAACACAGGAAATGGAGACAATGAGTAGACTCCTGGTGTGTGGATGGTAGCACAAAGGACAGTGGCAAAACAGTAAAACTATAGGAGTGGAGAGCCATCTGGTGGTGAGTTGGGTGATTGCAAGAAAAGAAAAGAAGTTTGGAAAGAATTTTTGCATGCACCTTGATAGAAAAGGCTTTTATTGACTGTCAAGTAAGCGTGTTAAAGGGCCAGTATTACAATATTCTCTGATCTGCATTATGTGGGAATAGAGGAAGTGTCCACTGTGTCCATACCCTAAAATCATTTGGATAATTTCAGCCCTGGAACTGCCAATCTCTACTGAACTAAATGTAAAAGGGAGGTGTTAACTTGAAAACTACCACTTCATGATAGCACAAAGTGGAACAGAACATTTTGAGCTTTGGAAATGTATGCAGACTAATAATAAAGGATTACTCAGACATGTGGGAATGAAAAAAACACAACTCTAGATATGCTTTTGAGGAGGTGACAACATTATAAAGTGGCTGAACCCTCTCAAGCGTCGATGAAGAGACAATGCTTTTCTCAAGGTATTGGTTCATACTTAAAAGCTGGACTAACTATATCATTTGTCTCTATGGAGATGTTCTATATTTAGGTAGAATGTTCCTCATTATGGCATGAAATTAATTTACCTAAATACCTGTACCATAAATTACAGGTCAGATATGTGCTGGAACAAAAATAATAATCCAGGTTTCCACTGTATTTTTGTAATAAATGTATTTATAATAAATGAAGGGAAGAATCTATCTTGTGTTCTGAGAAGGCCTTGTTTAACAGTAAAATTAGCTCTCCTGTTGTAATTTCAGCTAAGTCAGTTCTTTCTGGTCTAATTGTGCTAAAATAAAACTCAGATTAAAGTCTAATTAAGCCTCAGACAGAGCATGCCTATAGTTAGCATCACTCCCAGGGAAAGTTGATGACATTATTGTTGAAGAAAAATTCCATGTTCATATGTGGTTTGCTGTAGTGGTGTCTTTATTGGTTGAAAGTTCCATGTTGTAAGCAGGCAGATGTTGAGCTTCTGACACATGGTGTCTGCGGAGCAAGCTGACTACAAGCAAAAGTATAGCAAGCATTTTTTACACAAAGAGGTGGGTGAAGTATGCAGGTTAACATTTGGAGGAATTTCACAGCAGTAACAAAGCACCCTCATAAACCTCCTTTTGGTAAAAGTGTCATTGTTTCAAAAGATTAGCATTTCCAGCACAGCTGAGGTAAGGCAGGATAGCAGCAGGTGGCAACAGGTGAAGACCCCAGGGGCCTTTGATGGTGTCATGGGTAAAGTTTTTAAGTGTAAAATACATCACATGTGTTTGTTAAGCAGAATGAAAACTAAAACCAGAGAATGATTACTTTTCTTCCACAGCCGTATGAACACTTATATAATAAATGAAGGCAAGAATCTATCTTGTGTTGAGACACAGGGACTTGTTTAACAGTAAAAATCTGCTCTCCTGTTATAATTCCAGCTAAATCAGTTCTTTCTGGTGTGATTGTGCTGAAATAGAACTCAGCATGCCTATAGTTCACATCACTCTCCAAGAGAAAGTTGATGACATCAGCTACAAAGATCAATAGAGTTGATTGTAACTTTTCTGTTGTAGTCATTAGTTTGACTCTGTTATGCCTTTTCTCCAGGAGAGGGAAGTGTTATGCACTGGGCCAAGCAGTAAAATACCAGGAACTGCAAAAAGCTCCTGTGTGAAGCTGTGTGAAAACTCCTATTGATGTTATATAAGACCAGAGAAACAGAGGGTTGGTTCCATATTCATTCAGTTGTTTAATACAGATAAATATTAAGACAATAAATACCATAGTAATACAAAGGTGCCACGTGGGCCAGATTTGAATAAACATTTCTGAATTTTATTAAAGTCATGCCAGTCTGCCAGTAGTATTAGTAACAGCACACAAGGGTTGTAGTATTGATACTGATTGCACTGTATTGTTGAAGTTTTGGTGAAGTAGTAGCTTATTTGCACCTGTCGCTGGGCAGGTGCTCATGTTCTGGGATCCATGGAGATCTGGCAAAGCAATCAGCAGCCAGTCTGTCACAGTCACAGATGAACTGCTGACACTCATCATTCTGACCTGGAAATCAGAGGACAAAAGTTAACATACAAGTTATTTTTTTAAAGTAAACTGATTATTGTGATTAGCGGAGGCTCTTATGTAGCAAGTGGTCACTCACTGAGGCAGGAGAGCCTGCCCCCATTACACTGGAAGTGGTAAAACTTTGTATAGGGGTTTTCAAGCACAGGGAAGCACTCAGGGTGCTGCATGGCATCTGTGTAACACTGGTCATGCACCTGGCAGCACCTGGAAGGACACAGTAGAATATTAGTGTAGTATAGGATTAGGTTAGTATCAATATTAGAATTAAGGTGGGGGGGTCTCAATGCTGGTAAAACTCAACTTTATTTGGGGTTAAGATCCTATATTTAAAAAGTAGTATAGTAGTAGTTCACTGTGTTACCAAAAAAAAAACAGATCCATCATATCCATCCATCATAGGTCCAACACAAAAACAAACTTTCAAATGTCTTGCTTTATTAAATGGAAGTGTTTGGACGCCATAATAGTACTACTAGCATAGGCTCTTAAAAATGGGAAACCACATTGAAATCCAGTTTAATTTCACCAAAATTTGAAAAACGGCAATTCAGATCTGGATTCAGCCTCATTAAGATCTATTTGAGAAGTTGAGTCCACCTTTGGAGGACCCAGTGGTGTCACTTTAAACATTAGGTCAAATTACACATGTGGTTGGTAGAACATACCTGTCGAGATCGTCCACAGGTGTACCGGAGCCCCCCAACCCGCAGTAGCAGCCGTAGTCAGCGTAGTCCAGCACAGGTTTGCTGTTGGGCAACACGCACAGGATCATGTCCCGGAACTGGTTCAGGGCCCTGTAATCTATGGAGTGAGCTGGAACACAAGGATTTAGATAAACATGTTCATTTTGTGCTACTTTCTTTGTTTTGTGTGATATGTAGTATTAACACATGGCATGTAGCCAGTGGAATTATCACAACGGTGGCCCACCCCATTACATAGGCTTAATTTCTGCACCATTTAAAAAATAGAATAAAAAAATAAAAATAAAAAATCTCTGGCAGATGGCAAAATGTGTTTTTAAAGTTAAAGGCACGTTCAACTTCAAAATGAACACAGCGGGCAGAGGCAGGATGTAACCTTCAAACTTTTCAATACATAATGTGCATTGACATATTCTAATCCTTTTTAACAGCTCTTCTAACACAAGTGCAACTGTACTCACTGGTGGAAAGGCTGAGAGCCAGCAGACACAAGGCCAGGAAGGTCTTCATGGTGTGAGCTCAGAGAGGGACAGTGGAATACCTCTTCTGGTACTGGGTCTTTTATTCCCTGAGGAGGAGGGTCAGCTGATCCCATGTTTATTCACCTCATACAACTCCAGCAGGGGTCCAACAAGGTGAAAATCGCACGCTCTGTAAACAACTGATCTGTCACCGTAACATTGCTGATTGTTATGTTTGCCTTCAAAAATAATTTAAAGGGCCCATGTTATGATTTCTTCTCTACGTTATGATGTGTTTTTTGTTTCATTTATACGTTTAACACACAAATGACAATGACAAACATTTTGAAAGTACAGGTTTACAAAATACATAAGAAACTGTATTCAAAATGGGTTTGAAACTTGATTTATTAGTGAAAGAATGTGAGGAGTATTGTAAAATATATCTGAAGCTGATATGGCTTAAAAAACACAAACAAACACACAAACAAACAAAAACAACTTGATTGTAAAGGTGCTCTATGTAGCTTTTTGGTTGGAGGTCCAGATCTGACCAGCAACTTGGCTTGTTTTGGTCTCCATGGTGATAGAAAGGTTTAATGTCATACTATGAAACACCTCAGACACAGCAATAACATCCCCATGGAGGAAAAAAAATGGACGGATCCTCCACCAGAATAGTTGCACAATGCACTTTTAAGCCTTCAACAATGTTATAATGGATTCACAGACGTTTGAGAAACCCTCGAATGTCATGCATTTGAGGAGTCAGTGCTCAGAAAATCTCTATTTTCACCTACCCCCTATGGGTCTTTGTTCAGAGAGGGTTCGGGTTTTGCACTTTGTGTCACTGAGTGAAACTACACACATACTGTATTTTTCATTTATTCAATTACTGGCCAAAATAATATTGCTAGAAATACTTGAGATTCCCAGTTTGATCTTGTTTTTAGTTTTAAAATTTCACTTCCTTGGTTGGAAATCATGACATCATGCTAGGAAATTTCATATCTTTTACCTAGCAACTATGTAGTATACTGGCCCAAAACTCCCCTAATGCAAAGAGAAAGTATTATTTGACAAATAAAAATACAAGAAAATATCCTTATTTTATTGAAATAATGTTGAAAGTATTTTTTAACATGTAAATTGTGCAAGACATTTAGATAAAATTCTGTCGAATGTGATGTCATGAATATAACTCTCTACTTGCTGTAATTTTCAACACATTTTCCAACTTTTCTTCACAAATCACTTCTTGATTGGTGTAAAATTGTTATTCCAAAATTGGAGAATCATCAAAACCTCATTAGCACTTTAATGCCATTTTCTGGAACATTACAGCCAAAACAAGAGCAACATCTCCACAAAGGTTTCAAATTCTCTACACTTGTATTAATACTACTATCCATAAATAATATTAAAAAAACAGAACATAAATTTTGTTGTCTAATCCTTTAATATAAATGTATTTCAAAGACACATCTAGAAGCATTATACATCCTCATAACTCAACATGTACAAATTAAAACTAGAACAGTAAAAGTGTGACTAAAACCTAGCCAGCTGAAATGATTGTCCAACAGAAAGATTCACATTAAATTGTCACATGTGTAGGAAATGTGCCTTGTATCAGATCAGCATTTTCTTGGAATTAAACAGAACCTACTATACAATTAGTCGTTATTAAATAATCTAAATCAATGAAATGTTACAACAGCTTTAAATACATCATTAGAATACATTCTTCACTTTTTGAAATTAAAACTTCAGATATGGAATGAACAGCTTCAACCAGTAACTAAAAATAAGATTACATGCAAATGACAACACAAACTTGCAACTGTAGTGTACAAAATCTTAGAGGTATTGATCTACATAAAGTGGAACTAAACACTAAATATATTGAGTATAGTGTTTTAAAAGCATCGTCTACTGCCCCTAGTGGTAATTGTAGCACAAACTACTCTATTTTTTGTTTTATTTTGTGGGTTGAAAATGTATGAAAAGGACACATTTCTTGGCTCCAGAGGACTTTGCGATTTTAAGTACTTGGTGACATCACACAAAACTGCCATGATTACATCCAGACGTTTCTGATCGCAAACACTTGGCTGTAGGGGCAGAGCTTGAAGCGTGGATACCTGTTCGACCAATCGCAGTGTTCCTTTTACTTCCAGCCCCTCTCCCTCCCCTTTAGTCCTTCAGGTACTGCACAGTTTAACAGCTCAATAAGAACTGTAGTTGTGGAGGTGGAGTTACGGTGTTTAGTCCCACTTTAATAAACAAAGTAAAAACAATGGAATTCTTATGAGTCATACTGAAGCTGCACTCAAGGGGGCGCTCTCAATGTAACACTGTTTAAAACTTCATATTGGTTCTTCTTCCTATTCCATACATTAAGAGCAGGTAATGTTGTCAAAATTGATGGAAGATATAATTGAAAATATATTGACTAAAGTGCAACTACGTGTCAAAAATCACCAGCGAAAAAAAAGTAAAATAGAAAATTAACCAAAAAAAAGTGCAGTGTATTAACTAGAGATTTAGTAACAGCAGTGGAAAACAATAATGATTCAGTGCTCCTATAAATAAAACTGATTACTGTGAGATTTTAGCCATGTTAGAACGTTACTGCATCAAAAACATACCCAGAGTTATGTTTTGTTTCATTCACACAAATCTGAATGATCCTGCATTATTAGGCAATCAGTGTCCAAAGCTCAAAATGCTGTTTCACCTTGTGATGTCATCAAGATGTAGTATTTAAGTTAACCACATTTTTAGCCTCAATTTAAGGTTTTTACTGTACAATGCACTAACACTAGAATAACCGTTTTATCTTTTTGTTGGTTATGTTTTAAAATTTTTGTTCAATTCATAATACCAAAGTTAACAATATCTGGTATAGGAAGAAGTGAGGAAGTTTCAGCAAGACTAAAACAATAGCTGTAGCTTCAAGGTTAAGGAAATTCAGGACAGAAATGATCCAAATTATCCTCCCGGTATTACCACTTAATGACATTTCAAGGTGGCACAATGTTTACCGCTTGAGAGAAGAACACAGTCTAATTAAGGATTTGGGTGTTAAACATTTGTGAAGAAAAAAAAACACAACTCTAGGTATGTTTTTGATGAGGAAACAGCATTATAAAACAGATTATAGAGCCTTTAAACTAAACATTCTTCATATATATTGTGATGTCTGCTCCATAGGGACAGCATCACAGAATAGTTCATTTAAAAGTCCTGTGCCAAAAATGCTAAAAATGCTTCATAATTGGATGCAGACGGCACACAGCAAAACAACTTATATTATATGAAAATTTCCTCCTTGAAGCGTCCAATAGTATGATGTCCTATGTCAGTGCAATAACCTTTCAAAAATCAATAAAGGCATTTTAAATTGATTTGCCAAAAGGATAATAACATAATGTGTAAATTGAAATGAGTGTAAATGAGTAGTGACTTTAAAATATGCATTATAATTCAGTATGATATGCCTTTTACATATTCAACAATCACACTAGCCCTGTTTCAAGGAATGTACAACTAACCCAGATGTCAACTGAACAGAGGTGGGTAGAGTAAATGTGTATTTTAAAAGAAGATTAATCAAGTAGAAGAAAAATGCTGTGATCCAAAGATTACTGCAGTAAAAAGTATTTGGTTAACCTACAACTTGCGTATCAGGTAGCAGTTTGGACATAAAATATATTTCACATGATTTATGAGTTAATGTATTTAGAAAGATAAAACATGAATTAGTGCGTTTATTCTGGAATTTCCAAAGAATTAACTTAAAAACTGCAAAAACAAATCGTATCTGAAGATAAGGTGTAAGTAGTGCAACTGTTCGAATCATTTAATGAAACTCACATAAAACATGGAACTTGCCACTTGTAGAGTAACCAACTTATTACCTCAAACTAAATATTACCTCATCATATGTAAAAATATAAAATCAGAAAACTACTCTGAAAAGTAAATTTTTTCAGTTACTCAAGTTAACTGGATACTACCCACCTCTGCAACTAAATGCCTTTATCTTTAAAGACTGCCACCTTCTTATGCAAAGAGCGCTTATCATCATAATATACTGTATATATAGGACACTAGTTAGTAATTTAGGTACAGTTAAAAATGTATGTTTACTTCTATTACACAAATGACCAAATATTTCTAATATTTTGAATTGAGGGTTATGAAACAGGGTCTGTGTTTTAAAGATACTGTAGGTGTTTAAAGCCTAGCGCTGCACAATACATCGCAATTTAATGAAATGATTTTAGATCATAGAATGTCATCTGCAAATATATCCTGTATTTTATAGATGCATGTTTATTAGCTGTACATGTGGATCTCTTCAAATAAGTTATGAAATTCATAGTATTCTTGTAATAGCATCAGTTCATATTTCAGTCATCTCTCAAATGTCAAAGGGACAGTCCGGAATTTTGGACATAGGACCTCATTTCCTAGTGAGCCAGACTGTTGAAGACACGTGAAGATGCTTTTTTAAATATTCCATCCAGTCCTTGTATTTGCAGAGGTCGCTGTGCTAGGCTAGTGCATGTCAATGGCCATAGTTAGCCTGCTACTAAAAACAGTCTTGCCCACTCCACAAAGCACCCGAAGCAAAACAATTATTACACCAGAATGTTGATGTTGATGTCTGTCGATAGAATAATTTTAGAAGTAAAACCAACCTTGCATTTGAAGGATTTATGTCTGAGCAGCAGAAGAGAGTTGTACTTCCTGATAGAAAGCTTGGCATCAGCGGACTGATATATGAGAAAATAGTCCCTCAAAATGCAACGATTCATGCGATGTAAGGTTAGTTTTATTTCAAACATTATTCTATCAACACAGACATTTACATTGAAAATCTATCGTTATAATAGATTTGCTTGACTGTTTTTAGTGGCAGGATAACTATGGCCATTGACATGCACTAGCCTAGCACCAGCGACCTCTGCAAATACAAGGACTGGATGGAATTTTTTAAAAAGTGTCTCCACACATCTCCAACACACTGGCTCATTAGGAAATGAGGTCCTATGTCCAAAATTTCAGACTGTCCCTTTAACACTCCTGGGGTTGTTTACAATGTGTACTTTGAACAGAATCCCACTTTTTCTTTTTAAACATGAATCGCAAATCTAATCGCAATTTTCCCTAAAATAGCGCAGCCCTATCTAAACCAAAATAACTTGTGCAAGCTCCCTTCTATCTACAGGTATGATGCAGTATGAGCGGCTCTCTCAGCAGATGGTTGGGGTTCTGGAGGGTGAATGATAAAGTAAACCTTGAGCTCTGTGTAACTCGCACACGGAGCCAGGAGCAGGTGTCTTCAGATGGGCTTGTACAGTAGGGTGGTCACGTACTTCTTTTTGTAGCGGTGGGTCGCACTCAGCACCATCACTCCATCCTGTGAGATGGAGGAAATAGATAACAATGTGTGAGTGTCCATTATGATCAAAACAGTATCCTCAAAACGGAACAGACACAACAGGCTCTGTGCACAACAATGCCCGGCAAACACACTTTGGCATCTACTTCCTATTCAATTGTGAACCTATGGGGTTTTTGCCGAGTAGTGTTAAAATGAATAAGCATTTAAAGTTAAGGCATAGTGTCTCAATGCTAACGCTAAGTCTAATAAATATTAAAACACCACAAACTCACTTTTTTTTTTTTTCACATAAAAACAATCGGGTAGTTTTGACTGTAAGTAATTTGAATATTATTGTTTATTGTTATCATTGTTTATTTTATATTTTATGATTTTAATAAAAGTGACTAGCAGAGCCTAATGAGCGCATGGAGGGCTCGCTCAAGTCTGGCAACAGAAAACAGAAAAGTGTTGAGGAATGGGGCAGCTGTGTACACACTCTTGAAGAGCTGTGATACCATGTGGTGTTGTCACAATGATAACATTTGTTGATACTAAAGAAAAGGGTTAGTTTTTAGAAAAAAACAAAAAAACTAAAATATTTACGGTTGTCCAAAAAATCAATCCATACATCAAACCAAGAATCCAATTTGAACCAGGATCAGCCACTTTCACTTCGTGAAAACCATCTGACCTCGCAGCAATAGAATTTGTTCGCTCGACACAAGGCGGGTACTTTTTTAATTTAACCAATTACTGCTATTTGGTCATGATGTATGTAATGCGCCGCTAACGGGGCTAACGTCTTTCCGCTTGATAAAATTCACCAAACATTCTCTTTGTTCCGGCTTTAAATCCTCGATCTCGGGAATCTTTGCCAACACAGAATATATAGCGCTTCGCTGATTGCCTGGTACCTGAAATTGCACTTATATTCCATATTCCGATTCCTGACCTAGTCGCTGGAGAGAAATAAAATTGAGCGGAGGCACTAGGTGGCGCCAGCCTGGCTAAGGACAACTTTCCATGAATCAAAATTTAGTTAAAATGTAATTTAAATTTTGGTAGACTTTAATATTAATCATATTTTAAATCTGATTATTTTCAGTATCAACACTAGTTATAATATAGATTGGTATTGTGATTCCTATTTTTTTGAGAACTTGGAATACCATGTGTGCATTAACAGTATCACATAAATATGCAGGGATTTAGTGCTACTGTCATTTACTTTACTCAAAAACAACAGAACATTGAAAGGAAAGATAAAGGGAGGCTAGCTAGAAAATTTCATGCTGAACTACAAAAAATTCCTTACCTTGATGGAGAGAGCATAGAGATGGTTGAGCATCACATGATTAGGTTCTGGCAATAATGCAGGGTCACACTGAATGAGACAACAAAACATTTCTTAGCATTTTACCAGTTTTTTCTTATCCATATTAATCCCACTTGCACTCACAGATATCCCAGTGTCTTTGTTAAGAATGACTTGCAGCAGGTGAGGAGGTAGAATTGGAGGGGACTTAAACTTTTCCTCTTGTTTGGGGACATAGGCGTCCTGATGATAGGGTCCGGGCGGAGAGCTGGAGAGATCTAAAACAAAAAATGAAATACTTTATAAACACTACAGCTAAATAGCCTTAAATGAACTATATGTAACCTTCACTCTTACAGTTTTAAAAAGTATTACAATCACAAGTGAACCTGGGCTGTCAGTGACTAAACCTGCACATTTTTCTCATTTTTCTCCAGTATATTTACAGGTCATGCCTCAAGTGAAAGCTCAAAACCTCCAGAATTCCGTCACTGAGCAGCCGAGGCTGCACTAGCACTGATTAATAATAGTCTTCAGACACTGGGGTTTACGTACTGAGGATTCAGGTCAGACAGAACTGAGAGCCTTGTATGAGTCTCACTGGATAATCATCTTGACAACCAAAAAAATAAATTACACAAAAACAACTTGTCCCTCATGTCCAGTGTTTTAGTAATTAAGAATACATCAGCCTCACAATTGTTATCAGTAAAAGATATGTTTAATTTGAACATGAGACATTTATGGAATTTAATATCATAATCTTGCACATGGTTTGTTTAATTAGTTTAGTTTATTAGTTTATTTTCAGTTCAGCTACAAATATGTTTTATGAATCATTAAGGCTTAGTAATTATTATAATCAAGGGGTTGGGGTACACATTAAGTAGTTCCTAATCCTCATTCTTACTATTTGTTCATGCTCTATGCTGCACTCAGTAACTGCACTTTTGCATTTCTCAAGCTCCTGCTCCACTTATTTCCACATATTACCAGCTGCCCTATTAGAGCTATGCACAGTCAGCAGTGCACATTCAGAATGGAGGAGATGCTAAAACGCGGCGTAAGCACTTGCCTGACATATCGGAGCATTTCTGGGAGTCCACCATTAGAGCATCAAACACCTCGAAGTCGGTTTTCTTGACTTGGATGATGTTGTTGACGGTGCCGAGCTGGCTGGTTATGACAGGCTGAAAACAACAATAAATGTATTAAATATAAAATAATGAACATTGTTTACTTTTTTTTTAGCTCAAACTTCAACATTCAATAATCAGAAAATTGTGGGAAAGATAAGATTTTTTCCTGTACTATTACATCATTAGGCAAAACACTTAACCCCTTTGCAATTACCGGTAATTACTGAGTTAATAACGATTGTGTGGTAACTGGTGGAAGTAGTGTTGGGATTTTTGGCTATTTTATGGTATCCCAATCTTTTATATCAGTTCACTTCAAAAGACTAGCTCTTTTACTATTGATTTATAGAGAAGTCAAAGGGAAAACTCATTTTAACAACAAACATTGCATAACCTAAAATTTTGATTATGCAATGTTTTAATGCTATTATTTAGATTCTAAATAAAACATTGCACTACAATCGTAATAATTTAAACTATAATCATGACGCCAAATATGTTTTTCATGCACAAAGCTCCCACACGTGTTCCCTGCTCTGTTTCTGTGCTAATCTTTGTGTTGATTCAGGGCTAATCAGTAAAAATATTTGATCCTTTAAATAAATGAGATCCAATTCCAACCATTGAAGTTGGAACGTTGAAGAATGACTACTACATTTTATACATAACCACATCTGGTCTGGTCATATGTACTTTTCACCGGATCTCAAACCAGAACCAAGACAGAAACATAATCAGTGATGCATGTGGAATGAAGGAGCCCATTGGTCACTTACCATTTATGAACAAAATTACATTTCTCTCACCGCAGATTAACAGAGTTTAGTGCTTCTGCAGAAACCAGAGCAGTTTTTTACTCGTAAGCAGGAAATTTGCTTTTACTACAGATGGACCATGGCTAATCCATCTGTCAATTCACCGGTGACCAGACTCACATCTTCGTAAAGTATTGGAGTATTGGAATTTGGATCACAGCCAACTTTTTCATCATAATGTTTGTTGAGGGCATTTCAGCAAACTATAGACTATTCCCTTGACTACGTAATCTATTGATCTATTTAGACTAAATAATTAATTGAACCCTTAAATCTGCATTGCCCAGTATTTTTCTTGTAAAAGAGCAATAGCTTTGTTCTCTATCAAATGTATTGTAAAAGCTGTACTTTGTTATTAAATCTGATTGCTGTACTCTGTCCCTATCTAACTGCAAACCATTTTAATGAAAGCAACCTCATAACAAAGAGCTGTGTTTTGCAGTATGGTGCCTTGGGACAAGAGCTGATTGGGTGTGTGTTGGCAGTCGACCCTCTTTTGGTTCATCTTTTGAAAAAGCTGTGAATTCTAGTTAATGTGTTAAGCGATTTGTGAGAGCAAAGAATTAATTAGACAGCTTAAAAGACCTACTTTCTTCTTTCGCAGTTTGAAAATCATTAACTAATAATGGTGAGACTAGCACTGACCTCCGCTGGGTCATGGGTCCACTGGCCGTCCACATAGAACTTGTACTGGTGCTCCCCCTCGGGCAGATCAACAATGGCCACAAAGGTGTTCTGACTGGACAAATAACACATAACAAGCTTCAGTTTCAGCAACATTTTTCAAAGTTTCTACATCTTTTAAAGGGCTTATATTGCACTATACTCTGATCTATGTTAAATATTGTTTCCTCATCACAAACATTCCTGCAGATTTAAACAGAGCTCTTCTCTTAAACAGAAAACCATCTTATGATGTCATGTGCTAATAAAGGAACTATTCCACTGGATTTTTAAACTCCATACACCTTCACTAGAATCACTAGAATTTTCCTTGTGGTACTAGGTCACCAATCCACTTTCAGTTTCATAATCCCTTTTACCTTCTGATGAGGGGGATCTTGTTTGACCAGTTGTTGAAGGATCCTGAGAGGAACACTTCCTTCCCTTCACCTTTCCAGCGGAAAACCGTTGGCCGATCCAAAGTATCAGTTTTGTCATCAGCTTCTATGTCCTGTTGCCATGCCAAGAACTCCTCTTTCTCCAACGGGGCCTGCACAGAGAGAGATAAAAGGCCAAACCCTGTGTTAGATATGCATTTTTTAAAATGTATTTACATGGGTGATTTTAATTGCTTTGATGGTAGGCCTGTCATGATAATTACAATATCAACTTGAATACATGAAAGTTGATATATTTTTGGGGCTCAATATTTGTCATGTGTACATTTTTTCTGTACTATGATAAGATTTGAGTTGTAGAGAGGAGAATAAATAACTTCTGTGGCAAATTATTGGTTCATTCTGCTATTCATTTGTTGCGGCTCAGGTATTGTAATTATACAGTGTATTTAAAAATGGGTTTGCTGGGATTATCCTGCTTTTAGGCTATTGTGTAAGGGGAATAAAGTAGTTTTAATACTATCATTTATTGCAATATTTCTCTTTAGCAATATATTGTGTTTCAAAATTTAAAGATATTCGAATTTGAATATATAAGCTGCAAAAAAGATGGCGCAAAATAACTTACAGTGTAATCTTCCAAGCAAACTATATCGTGATATATCTGTTATCAGTTATTTTATTACTCCAATTAGTTTTATGTAAGCCCCAATTAAGTCCTGTAAAGATTTAAACACAGTTATTGGGATTTCACATAATATATTGCTTTTATTGCTTCGATTGTAATGTTATTAGTAAACCCAAGCCCAAAAGCATGTCTGTTTACACTATGCAAAACATGTTGGCTCTTTGTCCTCTATATACAGGTTAAGGCACTGGCAACCCATGTTCAGTTGTGATTGTAATACCTTTTTAAACCAGCAGGAGTGCAGGCTACATACCCTACCTTTAATATAGCCCACTCCAAATCACAAAGTTAGTAGTACTTACTTTGATGTCCTCAGTATGAAATATGTCTGCGTCTTCCGGGCTGTCCATGAGGATCTTGGGTCCCTCCTTGTGTCCACGGCTGTCTCTGCGGCCCTTCTCTCCATGGTGGTGGTGGTGGTGATGGTGGTGGTGACCCATACCTGCACGCTCACTGCTTGTGTTCCCCATAGCTGCGATCCTAAGAAGTCCTTCACAAAGTCACTGGAAAAGGGGCCAGTCAGTAATTTAAAGTGAACAAGATAAAAAAGGTCACAACTAAATTTCAGCCTTCTCGCAAAGCCTTAACATTTCACGTTAATAATTGAATAACAAATGCATAATAGCAAATTGGTTACTTATCAAATACTTTCCTTTTTTAAAATTTAAATTTATTTCATACAATCTGTGAAGTTTAAGTGTCACTTATTGCTTATATGTCATATTTAGCTGTACTTTGGAATAGTCTAGTCACTCTTAATGTACAAGTTATTTTGTCATGCCAAAGTCTAGTCCATGTTCTTTGTAGACTATGGGGGGGGGGGCAAGGTAGTCTTTTCTAGCAATGGGAAACACTGTAGACAGTAACAGGAATATTAAGGTATTAATATTAATCAGTTAATCGATAATCAGGATTATTCAGGTTACAACAGGATCATAAAAAAATAATTGTGACCATTTTAAAAAGGGCATCCATGGACTTTATGCACCTAAAAAGTAAGCAAAATGTACTACGGGTGAGCAACTCAACTTCAACCAGAAAGGTTAGTGGGTGGATCCAACCTCTGACCAGTATACATCATAGAGTCCTTTGACAAGATCCTTGATCTACCCTGTCTATGTGTGAATTTGAAGTGTCAAAAATGTGCTCTTACGTGCAAAAAGTAGAATGCCCCAATGTCCTTCTGAGGAATGCCTTAGTGAGCCCTGTGCACAAGACACAATGATACATCATTCGTACCACCCTGTCCTATATTTATCAATACACATGAATGCATTGTTCTGACATTTTCAAACATAGATTTAAAGCAAGGTTTTTTGCCATCAGTGTATATTGCATTATATTCTCAATTATTTATAAACCTGCTATAAATGGGACCCTGAGCTAATATGTTATTAAAGGACCTATATTACACAAAATGTACTCTTTTGAGCTTTTTTACTCCCTCAAAAACATACTTGGAGTTGTGTTTTGTTTCATTCACAAATATCTGAGCAACCCTTTATTATTAGTCTGTCTACATCTCCAAAGCCCAAAAGGTTTTGCTCAACCTTGTGATGTCATGAGTTTTCAGTCAACAGGGAATTACAGGACTTAAATTATCCAAATGATTCTAGTTTGCAGTGTACTTTAAAAACACCATATTACCACATTTCATCATGAGCTGGAACAGAGAGTTTGAGAGAAGAACTCAGCCTAAATATACAGGATTTGTGTGGGAATAAAACAAAACACAACCCCGGCTCTGTTTGTGATGAGGAAAAAACATATAAACACACTGTAGATCAGAAAATAGCGTAATGGGCCCTTTAAGCAGTGGTACTCTCTCTCTTATTACACAATATAATAACTAACTAAATTAATATTATCAAAGACAAGATGACCACTAATCTTACATGTGACACTTAGATTGAGCTACTACAACATCATTTAGCATTTATTTAGCATTTAGTCAACAATAAGACGCGATTTACAGATATAGTATTAATAAAATCGGTAGAAACTAACACCGATGGGGATACGCTTGTCAAGTGCTCATGCTAACTGGCTAGTGGCTAATAGGCTACTGCTTATTTATTGCCTGTGGTCTGTTTCTAGAAAATGAACAAGCTATTTCATCTGGTTAAAATAAAGGATGATAAAATAAGAAACACTGTAAAGATATGCACCAATGATCCGAACAAATATGGAGTCTCTAACCTTGTAAGTGTCAGCGGGATGCTAGCTTGTCCAGTCCATCTCTTCTCTGCAGAAATATAAACATGGGTCAAAACCAACACACCGGGGGTTTACGCATGCGCTCTGGAGAGGTTCGGAGTGCGCGTTACCCGTGTGGATGTGAAATGAAGAAAAACTACAAGGAAAGGCAAGGAAAGACAAATAACAGACCTACTGACGAGTGAAAAAAAAAAAAAGGTTTGAATAGAGTAGACGCAGATAACATGTAGTATGTTTACGTCGAGTCACGTAAAGAGTGATGTATTTTTACAAGCGGGCACTAGATGGCAGAAGAAGATAAGTTATCAGGACATTGCACGCGTCAATAATGTTCATTTAATTTCAAGTCAATTAGTGATGAAAGCACTGTAAAATTTTGAAAATACACGAAACTCTTTGGGGTTTTTTGGCAAGCGCTCACTAATTTTCACTCACGATTTTCGACTACAAGACTGCAAACTACAAGACTGCAAAGAAGAAAGAAATCTGCAAGAAGTCTGCAAAGAAGACTGAAAAGAAGGGTGAGTAATTCATTTAATTTTACGTTTGGTGTATGCTATTTTAGTCAGATATATTTAAACTAACCTGTTTATTCAGGGATTTTATTGTATCGGGTGACTAGATTTTCAAAATCAAAAACTGGGACACCCCGGTTTGGTTGGTAATAATTAAATTGTGAAATGAGTGCGTAATTAAGGACTAACATGAGTCAGTATAGTCACAGTTTCTTTGTGTTTTGGTTATTTTTGAGCAGCTTTTTCTGTATTTTACTTAAACAAATCATAATATATGCTTGCTTTACTGTTGGCAGGGATCAAACTAGTCAAAAATAGGGACGCCTGGGACATTTCTTGTATAAAACTGGGACTAATCAGTGGTTTTGGATAAATCTGCTCAGACAGGGGACACAGGGCCCAAAACTGGGTAAACAGGGAGGTCTGATCACCCTAGGATGAAGTCACTAGGTCTTTCATGTATGTTTATTTGGCAATGTCTATGGCTGGGATTCAGAATGATGACAAAATTGGGCAGTCGCCATAGTGAATAACAATTTAAAACTAAATATGAATATATATATATATATATATATATATATATATATATATATATATATATACAGTAACTACGGCCATACTGTGGAACTTTCTAGGCACATTTCCAATGAGACAAGCAGACAGGTAACAAAAGTTAAAGACTGCTATAACTCAAACTCAACACAAACCACACTTTTTTCTGTTGCCTTCCTTTTGTACAGGCTAGGTCAAGTAATTCATATATATTTTTAAATTTATTTTAACGAAAACTTTTCTTTCCACAGATCTGCACCATGGCTCACCGTTGCTCCTGCACCACGCAGCCCGGCTGCCCTGACCTCATCGTCCTGCGCAGTCTTTCCGACATCTCTCCGCTCAGTCCTGCCTATCGTGCACCCCTCTGTGTGTCTCTCTGCAGGACACCGCTGGCACCTGGACCTCCAGGCTGGCCCGGAACTCCTTGAGACCGAGTGCCTCCTCTCGCCTCATCCTACGCTGGACTTCTGATTCAAGCCATAATTTCACTCACACTGTCTCCTGCTTGTTTTCTCAGGACTCCTCTTCCTCCTCCACCTCTTCCTCCTCCTCTTCCTCCTCCGACTATTCCTGCACCTCCTCTTCTGCCTCTCCTCCTCCCCCATCTCATAGGCAAACAAGGACGGTTCGCAGGCTTAGCTCCAGCTCCTCCTCCTCCTCTTCCTCCTCCTCCTCTTCTTCCTCCTCCTCCTCTTCCTCCTCCTCCTCTTCCTCCTCCGACTATTCCTGCACCTCTTCTCCCTCTACTCCTCCCCCATCTCACAGGCGACCAAGGAAAGTTCGCAGGCATAGCTGTAGCTCCTCTTCCTCCTCCTCTTCCTCTGGCTCCTCCTGTTCTTCATCCTGCCACACCCACACCACCTCCTCTTCTCCTTCACCTCCTCCTCATAAGCGCCCTCGTCGTCCAGGGACCAGTTCCAGCTCCAGCACCTCCTCCTCCTCCTCTCTGTCTGCTTAGGTCCTCTCTCCCTTTCCCTCCCTTCATGTCTCTCACTCTCTTCCCAAACAGAGACTGTCACAAAGGGAGACTGCATTAGATTTTTTTGAGAACTGATATCTCCTCTGTCTGTTTAGGAACCGGGCCAGGACTGTGATTGGAGACAAGAGGTCCACCCTCGTCGCCGGCCAGACTCTTCAATAAAAGCGTGGAAAAGGAAAACTTGATTACTGCAATGCTCTCCTTTCTGGTGTTCCAAAGAAATCTACAGCTCCATTGCAGCTCCTTCAAAACTCTGCAGCACGACTGCTGACAAGGACCAGAAAGTGAGAGCATATCACCCCAGTACTGAAGTCTCTGCACTGGCTTCCTGTGAGCTTCAGGATAGGATATCTGTTTTAACTTAAATTATTATTATTATCATTATTAGGCCCGAGCGCCATGGGTGGCGTAGGGCCTATTGTTACTGTTCAGCAGTGCGAAGCACTGCGGGAAGGCGTGTGCGAAGCACACGCAACAGAGCGCGAAGCGCTCTCTCCCCTTTCCAAACACACACTCACACTCACATGTCAGTGACTGGTGCCCGCTGACATGGCACGGTGGCATTGCCCATGGGCCGCGTCAGCGGCATAATTGTAATCGTTCACCCCAAAACGTAGGGCGCACTTGACATGGTGCACGAAGTGCACCATGTCAAGTGCGCCCGCGAAAACAGAGCGCGAAGCGCTCTCCCCTTTCCAAACACACTCACACTCATGTCAGTGACTGGTGCCCGCTGACATGGCACGGTGGCATTGCCCGTGGGCCGCGTCAGCGGCATATTTGTAATCGTTCACCCCAAAACGTAGGGCGCACTTGACATGTGCACCATGTCAAGTGCGCCCGCGAAAACAGAGCGCGAAGCGCTCTCCCCTTATCAAACACTCAGTGCCACTCAATAGTGACACTCATGGCATCCAATAGTACAGACTGGCATTGCCCAGTGCCACGTCAGCGGCATAATTGTAATCGTTAACTCTC